TATGATGTCTTCGAACGAGCCTGGAATGCAAGTGAGTATGATCTCTTCGAACAAGACTGAAATTCATGTGAGTTTGAATTTTAGCCGGAAAGTGATGCCTCACGTTGTTTATGATATTGCCAATGAGTTTCAAGGGTATCAATGCCCACTGAAATCATAAAGAAGTTCTAAGCTTAGATTTTATAAAATGATTTGAGGCCACCAGCAAGCCTGTCAAAAGCGTCCCACACAAGGTCAATGTGATTAAGGTCGGGAGAGCATACAGGCTTTACCATTTGGACTACAGCTTCTTTTTCAAGAAATTAGTACATGAGGCGAGCAGTACGAAGGAAGGGAATTATCTGTTTGCAAAATAACGATATCACCAATTGTGACAAGATATGAATCCCCAATAATATCCCATATTCTTTTGTTGCAGAAATAAGCGTGGATCTAAGATGATATGGAGGTGCAGTTTTGTTGCAATATACACAAGTCACAAATGTTTGTTATCTGAAGAAGTGGTAACTCCTCCCTCCCTTTGAGAAGTTAAACCACTTAGGAACTGACTCTACATTCAACTCGCCACGGAATGGTAGACATTTAGCCATTTTGCAGTGTCAGAATGACGTTGATCTTCTTCTAGTATGCCCTTGGTTCTATAACACAATTCTGACGGCAAATATCATCTTGAACTCATTTTTATACTTGGATTATCTCGAAATTAATTAATATGCCAACATTCATAGAATAGCTGCTGCTTTCCAAACAAGCTGGTATAAAACTGTACCATATTTACATAAAGTAATGACAACGCCACTCTTTTGTATATTGCTACTCAATGCAGCTTGCTTTTATTTGTGATAGATTGAAATTTCAAGAATTTTGAACTTTGAACTTTGAACCAATTTACAGCGATTGTTCAATTGGTTGCTTAACTTTTGGAAGCCAGCGTATTTATAAAAAAAAATTTGAAATTCAAAGAGTTCGCCCACTTTTAATAATAGCTATTAGACAGTATATTTAGGAAAACTGTTATACAAATAAGCATTACTTTTAAATTAAACACATATGTCTTTTATTTATTATTTATCATAAATATTTTGTTTTGAGACTCATATTCAATTTGTCATATTTATTTTGTCAAGTAATTGACTCAAGTGATTTGAGGCTCTTTTTTTCCCATTAATTAAATTAAACTAAATATTAAAAACTAAGTATTCTATTAATATATATTCAAAATATAATATTCAAATAAATTAATAATATATATTCTAAATTAAACTAGTAGTTTTCAAGTAGAATCATGTATATTTTTATGTCTTTTGGGGGCATTGTCATCAAATGAAGATGAAGGCGGAACACATGTAAAGAACCGAGTTTTGGTTTCTGATAGTTCAAAACGTTATTTGCATTTGTTTTCTTGTATTATTTACATTTATTATAAATTTTATTATTATGTATTTATTTCCTAATATTGATATCTCAAAACTAAACAACAATAGGTCCTGAATTTCAACAAAACGCTATGGCACACTAACAAGCAATTCTAAATCAAACGTTCTCTATCTAAATATGGAGACACAAGAAAAATTTATCAAAAACAAATTACAAACAGCTAATCACTTACATACGTCATGCCAACACATACCATTCCTGTGCGTGAAAACAGTAGGAAGCTATTCAGACATTCCGCTCAAGAACAATAACTTACATAATACCATCTGCCCCATTCCCCGCACATAAAGCAAACATTCCAACGAACTGGTTGTTATAGGAAAAAAGATCAGATCTTGAATCATTGGTGCATGTATAGGAGGATTTACAGGTGCAAAATATTGCTTATTTGTATTTGCAAATAAAGATCAGTTGTATTTATCGTTATTTAAAATATCAGTATTATTCTAGGAATGGTTTGAATGACGCGGTATATTAAAATTAAGCCTTTTTTAGACCAGACAGATTTTAATGTCATTTAATGTAAAACATAAAAGTTATGCACTAAAATGTAAATAAGTATTTAAAAATAATTAACTATTGGTATTTTTATTGTATTGTATATTATTTTATTGTATTACTGTTGCACTTGTGTGGTTTCTTATTGTAAAGAAATTAGAAAAAAAAAAATAAGTTAATTAAAGTTAAATTCATAATCATTTGCTTATATCATGCAATGCCCGGTTTGTTTGTGTATGTGATTCAATAACATCTACTAATTGTTTTCTTTTTATTTGCTATTTTCTTTAATCAAAAATTAAAAATTACAGGGTGATTATAGTTAAAATTCCACATTCAAAATGCTGTAAAGAAACATTTACTCGTCACAATGAGTTCAAATTTGAACTGAAGATAATTGAAGATGGGGGGAAAATGAAAAAATTGGGGGTGCGGTGTGGCAAAAATCAGTTCCAAAATGTATTAATAGAGGGCTCTGTAAGCGGCATAAAGAAATTGAATTCGGCTGCCAGTGATATTTTGAATCGAAATGACAACATATTTGGCATGAGTTGCACATTAAACCAACTGCAGTGTTCAATGTGCTTGATTGTTTCGGTCTTTTGACAGAAAAAATGACTTCCAAGTCATTCAACAGTTGTGAAACTCTTAATGGAAAGCCCTTCTACTACGGCAATGTCATACCAAATTGGATGGGAAAATTCGGTGAAGCTTTTTTTTTTTGATGCATGCGGCTTCAAATATCTTCAGTGTGACGAGTAGCTCTTTTATTACAGCATTTTGAAAATGGAATTTTAATTATAAACACCCTGTATTTTATAATTTCTGATTTTAAAAAAAATTGTAGTAAATTATTTTGAAAATGATTAATTTTATTTTTTGTTAAAAGAAAATAAATTATTTTCATAATTATAATCCAAAAGAGAGCTTGTAAATTGATTCAACCTCATCTAAATTTAAATATTATAATTATTAAAAATAATTACATTGAAATAAATGAAATTATTTTACAATCTTTAGTATTATTACCTATTTGAATATCTTAAATAGAGAAAAAAATTAACGACTCAAATAATATCTCATACTAATTTGTGTGCGTTTTTTTTTAATGTTTTCTAACATCCAGACACAAAGTCGATTTTAAATTCTAATTACAAAGCATACTTCTGCTTTGTTTATTATAAAAATGTTAATTAAGGCTATTAAGTAGATATTAATTTATTAACATCCACTAATTTTTTTTTATTTGTCATTTTTTTTAATTAGAAATTGTAAAATATTTAAATTTAAAAATTAAAAAAAATAATAAATTATTTTGAAAATTATTAATTTTAATTTTTTGCGAAACGAAGATAAATTATTGTTATAATTATAATTCAAAAAAAGTTTGCTAATTGATTCAACCTGACCTGAATTTAAATATTATAATTATTAAAAATAATTACATCAAAATAATTGAAATTCTTTTACAGTCTGTAGTATAAAAACCTATTTGAATAACTTATTAGAAAAAAAAAATTAACAACGATAATAATATCTTGCACTAATATGTATTTTTTTTTTTTTTGTTTAATGTTTTCCAACGTCAGATACGAATTCGATTTAAAATTATAATTACAAAGTATATATTTGCTTTGCTTATTAAAAAAATGTTAATTGAGGCTATTAAGCAGATAATAATTAGTGACATTGTAGTATAGCTTCTTATGAATTTTAAGTAACATGAGATAATTTGAAATTCTTATCAGTATGATTTTTTAAGATTGTAGGAAATGATTAATTATGGTAATAAAAATTCAAAAACTATAAATTTGTTTTACTAACATTTTTTTAATTATATTTCTTTAATATTAAAAATTCTTCCGACATTAGTTTCCTGGCACGTTAATTAAATACTTTAATGAATTACGCAGGAATAAAAATAAAGTAAAATTTAAGCAAAACTCTGATTAATTTTTAATTATTATCTTTTAATCTTTATCCTATAATCATTATCTTTTTATTTTTTTTTTTAATTATTCATTATACATTTTCGTTAAACAAACTTTAATTTAAAAAAAAGGAAAAGCATAGTAAGATAATAGAGTCGCAATATACATAATGTAACGAATATCAGGGTTGCCAGTATGGAGCAAACATATCTCTCACGTGATCTTATTACTCACAATACTTTTACTTTGTAGTGTAACACATGCGATGACAACTTTACAAATAAAATAAAGTAAAATTTGAACAAAACTCTGATTAACTTTTTGATCTTTTGTTATTCATTATGGATTGTCATTAAACAAACTTTAATATAAAAGAGTAAAAACATAACAAGATAATGGAGTAGTAGTACACATAATAAAACTTACGTCAGGGTTGCCAGTTTGTTGCAAACATACCCCTCACAGGATCATATTACTCGCAGCTTTTACATTGCAGTGCATAAAACTTGCGATGACAACTTGGCGACCTTTGGCAACAATCTTTACTGTTGGCGAGAGAGTAGAAAAAGTTCTGCTATCGTATACATCGTATTAAATTTAGAAATATATATATATATATATATAACATCTACTTATCTAACATCTACATTAACATCTACATTTACTAATTGTTTCTTTTATTGCAATTTTTTTTTAAACAGAAATTAAAAATATTTAGATTTACTAAATTTAAAAAATTTCTGCTAATAAATTATTTTAAATATTATTAATTTTATTTTCTATTAAAAGAAACTAGTTTTATAATTGTAATTCAAAAGAGAGTTTGTGAATTGATTCAACCGGACCTGACTTTAAATATTATAATTATTAAAAATAATTACATCAAAATAATTGAAATTCTTTTACAATCTTCAGTATTAAAACCTATTTGAAAAAAAAAAAAAAAACTTTTTAACAACTATAATAACAATACTTTACACTAAATTGTATTTTTTTGTTAATGTTTTCTATCATCCAGATACAAATTCGTTTTTCAAAATATAATTACTAAGCATACTTTTGCTATGTTTATTATAAAAATGTTAATTGGGGCTATTAAGCAGATAATAATCTATTAACATCTACTAATTGTATCGATCACCGAAGTCAAGCATCATTGGGCGCGGTCCGTACTTGGGTGGGTGACCACCTGGGAACACCGCGTGCCGTTGGCATTCACAAATTTGGGACCTGAATGGCCGAGTGTCTAGCGCTCTGGCGCTCGATGGCACAGGTTTCGGGTTCGAATCCCGGCGGTGCCATGGATGTTTGTAGTGGTTCGGAATCCACTTTCTGCCGTAGGTCCCGGTCTTTTATGACTGTAAGAGCGTCACGGAGCAAAAGTCAGACTTCTACCTACGGGTGCTCCATCACAACAGAAGCTGCTTCCTTCCCCTTCAATCATGAGTACGTATGGGTTCGTGGGCTTGGCCAGCCAAGTGGGATAAGAAACAACAACAACTAATTGTGTTTGTCATTTTCTTTAATACAAAATTGTAAATTATTCAGTTTTACTAATTAAAAATAATTTCATATAATAAATTACTTTCAAAATCATTAATTTAAAATTTTTTAAAAGAGAATAAATTATTTTTATAATAATAATTGAAAAAAAAGTTTGTGAATTGATTCATTGCGACCTGAATTTAAATATTATAATTATTAAAAATAATTACATGAAAATAATTGAAATTATTTTACAATCCTTAGTATTAAAACCTATTTGAATATTTAAGTAGATAAAAAAAAACTTTTTAACAACGATAGTAATATCTTACACCAATTTGTGTTTTTTTAATGTTTTCTAACGCTCAGACACAAATACGATTTTAATTCATAATTACAAAACGTACTTCTGCTTTGTTTATTATTAAAATGTTAATTGAGCTCATTAACCAGATAATAATTAGTGACATTTTAGTATATCGTCTTATGAATTTTAAAAAACATGAGATAATTTGAAATTCTCTAAATCAGTATGAATTTTTAAGGCAGGGGAAAATAATTAATTATGGTAATGAAAATTCAAAAAACTATAAATTTGTTTTATTAATCTTTTTTGTTAATTATGTTTCTTTAATATTAAAAATTATTTCGAAATTAGTACCCTGGAACGTTAATTAAATACTTTAATGAACTACGTACAAATAAAAATAACGTAAAATTTAATCAAAACTCTCATTAACTTTTTGATCTTTTGTTATTCATTATGAATTTTCATTAAACAAACTTTAATTTAAAAAAAAAAGAAAAAATTTAGCAAGTTAATGTAGTAGCAATATACATAATAGAACGAATATCAGGATTGCCAGTTAACATGGGTAAACATAGCATTAACAGGGGTAACATAGCATTACATAGCATTAACAGGGGTAAACATAGCATTCACGTGATCATACAACTCACAGGACTTTTATTTTGTAGTGTAAGACCTGCGATGACAACTTAGCGATTTTTTGGCAATGATCTTGGTACTTACGTATTAACGCTACCTTGGCGGTTTTTAAATGTCGCGAATCTAAGAGCTACAGATTTGGCGGTTTTTAAGTGTCGCCAATCTCACAGCTACAGATTTGCTGATTTTTAGTGCTTCGATGTAGTGCTACGAAAATGCGTTTTGGGATTTGCCAGAAACAGAACAAGATGCAATTTTATTTTTTCAGGATCGAAATATTTTACCAAAAAAACGAAAATGTCCCAATTCCCATGACATGAAACTTTATTTTGGTAAACGTAAGTTTTGGAAATGCAATTTCAGTCAGTGTGCTTATCATGTGGCACTAAGAAAAGACAACTGGTTTGAGGGAAGCAGCATTTTAAAAACCGCCAAATCTGTAGCAGCGGTTGGCGTTCAAAAGATAACTGCGTGTGCGTGCGGACAACAAGATTGCTCTTTATTGGCGCAACTGCCGCCAAGGTAGCGTTAATACGTAAGTACCATGATCTTTACTGTTGGCTATTAAAATAATCGATAATTATTAGTAAATGCCGCTTTCTCTATGATGATATCTGACTTGCGCTTAATCTTTCACATATTTTCTATACATATTTGTAATGCCAAATGACATCAGGTCCAAGAATTATATAATAGGCAATAGTAATAATTATACAATAATGACTGGTGGGAATTTTCCAGGACAAGTAAATGTGGGTATCCTAAAAGTAGTCTCAGAAACACTGGCATCTTTCATCATCTGTCGGTGAACTGCTTACCTTTCTAACTGGTAGTAGCTGCACAGCCCTAGATACTAGATAAGGTGTGGAAAAAAAGAATGATGCGCCGTGGGCATGTCGCAAAAATACTGTTTGAGTTGTTAAGGATCACAGTTGGCAATATTATAGCTGTATTTTCAAAATATAAAAGAATAGAAAGGTTTTCGGTTTTTTCCAAATAATAATGATTGCAGCACGTACTACCAGCGGGAATCGAGAGGGTCAAGTTCTTGCTTTTTTGCTAAAAATATTTTTTAATCAGGGTTAACAGTTTGGGGGTAAACCTACTATTAACTTGGTGATACTTCTCATGTGACATTTACTTTGTAATTTAACATATGCGAGGATAGCTTGGCGATTTTTGATTATTTCTACTCTATTGTGTTGGCTAAAAAGTAGGAAAAAATCTACTATCCTAAAACGATTTTCAAAAGTAATGGGTTTTCTTTTTCTAAATATTTGACACTTCTTCAATGGCGCGACAGTCCAATGGTGGGTCAAGACCTTTTACCTACTGACAGATTCCGAAACATGAGACGAGGTTTTCATTTTTACTGAGTAGGGTTGTCAGACCTACGCCTAAAGCTCTAAAATCATTTTTGATTGGGATCTAAGGTTTAAATTGGATACCGAACTACTATAACTATCCATGGTATCTCCAGGACTCGAACCTTGTTGTCAGAGCGCCAAAGCGATAATCATTTGGACATCAGGCTCCATTTGACATTTGTATTCAATTAATAAATTTTCTTGTGTAATATTTACCGTCCAAAATGATTATAAAATAAAACATTAATCTTTATCAACTTTTTTGTAATCTTATTTAATGTAATAATAAGTCTGTTGAATATAAGTAGGTTTCGTGTTCTACTTAAAATTGCTATCAACTACCCAATGACTTCTTGAAGTTCTTGGCTATTTTCCTTCGTATTTGCGTGTCGTACTAAATAAAGCTCGAAAAACTCCAAACATGGAGCCTGGTTAAAGAAAATAAATGTTTTAAAAACATTGTCATAATCAGCATCGATAATTCTAGTTTCTGAATGCAGGGCCAGTAATAACGAACGCCACCAACGTATTTGGATATAAGCCCTTCTGTATCATATCTACGCACTGTGCATCCCTTCGGACAGCTTTTGCGCATTAGCTTATTTAATGTATGTCATTGGCTACCATTATTTGAGTAGCTATTATTCATTCTTCTTGTTGTTGTTGTGTTGTGACCAATCCTCAGTTTCCTGAAGTGCCGGACGGATATCAAATGAGTGATCTACTCAAGCATGGAGGGAAAGTGGGCAGCTTCTGTTGTGATGAAATTCCCGTATATGGAAGTCTGACTTGGCTCCGTGACGCTCTTGCAGACATATGAGACCGGGAACAAGGCTTAAAGTGGATTTCGAACCACTACAAACATCCATGGTAAGTGCATGATTCGAACCCGAAACCTATGGCACCGAGCCCCAGAGCTCTAGACAATCTGCCAATCAGGCCCGTTATTAATTTTTTTCTTCCTGGCTGCGACATCTCCATGGCGGGCCAAGGCCTTCAGCAAAATTCCGAAACATGAGAAGTTGTTTTTTTCTTTTTACGGGTTGGCTTTATCTTTTTACAACCGTACGCTATAAAGTCATATTAGACCGGGACCTACGGTTTAAAGTGGATTACGTACCACTACAAACTATTCATGGACAAGTCTGGACTCGAACCCAAAACCTGTGATACTGAGCTCTAGAGCATTTATTTTTTTGCTTGTTCAAAAAATTTCTTATTTCATTATAAAGTCAAACATCCGTACGAAATTTTACAATAAACAATATTTCTATGATTCAAATAATCATATGTATAATCTATAAAATTTTAAAACACATGCTAATTGATTCGGTTCATTAAAACCGTAATTACGGTTCATTAAAACCTAAGAATGATTATTTATTTATAATATATAATAGTGTTTTACTTTAATAAGTGTCGTAATAGGAAGCCCATATATGCTTACAAATGAGTACAACAGCCTACATAATGTAGAGATTAATACATCTTATTGGAATAAAGTTCGCACTCTGGCTCTATTCTTCGCCACTTAAGCACTCATGATTCTACAATCAGTGGACTCGACATCACAGTGGAGTCACAGAGGAGTGTATTGCAGAGCGGACCACATCAAAGCTTAAATGCACCGAGCGGATCATTGGCACAAATTGCCTCCGGGCTCCGAAATTCCGCTCATTGCTCATTAGGAACGGTTCACAAAACTCCAATCACATTCTAATGACCGGGATATTGCACTGATAATCACCATCTTAAATTAAGTTCTTCCCAATTGACAGATGGACAGATATGGATGTAATCCTAAAAGGGATATATAATGCTCTGACTTCCATATAATTCGTGAATAGATTTATAAAGTACACCAATTTTATGATGATAAATTCCTTATTGAATATAATTTAATAAAGGTTTTTTTTATGGCCATTACGACAAACTTAATTGCCTACCTTGGCTGGGAATAAATTGTCTTACTGTCCAACTGAAATCATTTTCTTGTCTTACGGTAAAAATTCCGGAAAAGTCCCATTAAGCATCCTGACTGTTGATGAACCGTTTAACATACGCTGTAATAATCACCATCAAATCTCCTCATTTATGAAAGCAGTGATCGAAACGGATGCTTTCAATTAATTATATCAGTGGACCTTACCACACCAATGAATATTACGAACTACATAGTGATGAGAGAAGATATCTTTTAGGGTCAACTGCTAGCATTTGTTTGTCGTTTGGTAGAAATTCCGAAAATTACCATTAAATATCGTGACTGTTGAGGCTAAATTGTTTTACACTGCCGTAATTATCATCAAATCTCTCCAGTTCTGGAAGAGGAGACCAAAAAGGACTACGTCAGTGAATTCTATCAATGGACCTCATCACACCCATGTATACTACGAACTCAACGGATCA